CATTCGAGTCAACTTTTAATCAAATAAAATGGCAATCTACTTCACTGTGTTTAGTCCTCTCATGGTAGACTGGATTGCTAGCAATATGAATAGCTACCTAATTGGAGAGGAATTGAATTGGGTACTGGACTGATATCCCAAGTTCCTATAAAAGAGCTTTCAACCAAGTAAGTTCACAGGCAATGTGTGCCATGGCACGATACTCTGCTTCAGCACTGGAACAAGCAACAACTAACTGTTTCTTACTCCTCCAAGTTACTAGATTTCCTCCTATGAAGGTGCAGTAACCCGTGGTGGACCGTCAATCAAAAGGAGAACCGGCCCAATCTGCATCTATGAATCCCTCAATCCGAAGATGTCCAGAAGATCAATAAAGCAGACCATGTCCCGGAGCACGCTTGAGATACTTCAAGATGCATACAACTGCCTCCATGTGAGGTACCCGAGGACTGGTGATGAACCGGCTCACAACACTGACTGCATAAGAGATGTCTGGATGAGTGATTCTGAGGTAAATAAGTTTACCTACAAGTCTCTGATACATCATCGAGTGGGTCACCATCATCCACCTTAAGTTTTACATTAGTCTCCATGGGTGTAGCTACAGGTTTCGAACCAAGATATCCAGTATCCTATAAGAGATCAAGAGTATACTTCCGCTGAGAAAGATTAACGCCGTGCTTTGACCGAACTACCTCAATTCCTAGAAAATACCGAAGTTTGCCCAAATCCTTAGTAAGGAAGCTAGAACTCAAGTGATGGATTAGAACTTGTATCCCATCTTTGTCACTGCCGGTGATAACAATATCATCAACATACATCACAAGAATCACAATACCACGTTTCGTTTTCTTAAAAAAGAAAGAGTGGTCAACCTGGCTTCTGGTCATACCATGAATAACCACTGCTTTACTGAACTTATCAAACCATGCACGAGGGGACTGTTTGAGGCCATAAATAGATTACTTGAGATGACACACACACTCCCCCTTATACTCAAACCTTGGTGGTTGAGTCATATAGACTGTCCCAGTAAGGTCACCGTGCAAAAAGGCATTTTTAACATCAAGTTGATGAAGTGGCCAGTCTAGATTAGCTACAAGAGAGATTATCACACGAACAGAATTCAGTTTGGCCACAGGAGAGAACGTCTCAGTATAATCAAGACCATAAGTCTGAGTGTAGCCTTTAGCAACAAGTCGAGCTTTGAGACGGTCAACAGTACCATCAGGCTTCTGTTTAACAGTAAAAACCCAACGATAACCAACAACCTGAGTATCAGAAGGTTTAGGAACAAGGTCCCAAGTATGATTCAATTTTAAAGCGTTTATTTCTTCTTCGATAGCTTTCCTCCACCCTGGATGAGAAAGTGCCTCCCTATAGGACTTAGGAAGAGCAATAGAGGATAATGACAAAGAAAAAGCTTGAAAAGAGGAGGATAATTTGTTATGCGATACAAAATTGGGATAAGGTGATTGGTACAAGACCGTTTACCTTTCCGAACAATAATAGGTTGATCAAGATCAGAGTCCGGAGAGATGGAAGAATCTCCGGGCGTTGAAGCAACTAGTGGAAGGCAAGGCTGGATTTACTACTTCAGTTGTTGGAACATGATTAACTACTCTTTTCCGGTGATGAGCATAGACATGAAGAGCTAGTGGGATGTTAGAATTAAAAACTGGAGTTGGAAGAACAGACTCTTGAAGAATAGAGTCCTCCAAACGACTTCCTTCCTTGGAGTAATAAGGAACATCCTCAAAGAAAGTTACATTTGCACACACATTGTTTACGAAGAGTCGGACTGTAACATTTATATCCCTTTTGAGTGCAAGAATAACCTAAGAAAATACATTTGTGAGCACGAGGATCAAGTTTGTCTCGTCCCGGGCTTAGATTATAAACAAAACAAACACACCCAAACACCTTTGGAGGAATGGAAAAAGGGTTTTTGTCAGGAAACATCATTTGGAAGGGTGATTTTCCTTAAAGGACCCTAGAAAGCAAGCGGTTTAAAAGATAAGCAGCAACCAGAACTGAATCTGCCCAAAAATGTTTTGGAACATGCATTTGAATTATTAAGGCACGAACGATAGCTAGGTGTGGGCCATTCTTCCGTTCAACAACTCCATTTTGTTGAGGGGTATCAACACAAGATGTTTGATGGATAATGCCCCTCGACTTAAGAAATTTTTTAAAAACATTAAGTTTATATTCAAGGGCATTGTCAGTTCTAAGAACAAGTAATTTTGCATCAAACTGATTTTGAATTTCAGCATAAAAGGATTGAAAAACAAAGAATACTTGAGATCTATCTTTAAGAATATAAACCCAAGTTAAACGTGAATAATCATCAATAAATGACACAAAATAACGAGCACCAAATAAACCAGTAGTACGAGCTGGTCCCCAAACATCCGAATGTACTAAAACAAAAGGTTTTAAACTTTTATTATCAAAACGAGACTTAAAAGTAGCCCGATGATGTTTACTAAGTTCGCAAGTAGTATATTTAAACTTAGCAAAATTAACTAAAGAAGGGACCAAGGTTCGAAGACTATTTGAAAAGGGATGTCCAAGGAGGCAATGCCACTGGTAAGCTGAAGAGGAGGTGGAATGTAGAGCTGTCGGAGCAATAGTTGGTTGGAAGTAGTAAAGACCATCCTTCTCAAAACCCCCACCAATCGTCTTCTTCGTCTCGAGATCCTGAAAGACACAACGGGAAGGAGAAAAAGTAACTGAGCAATTTAAATCTGATATGATTTTGCGAACTAACAATAAATTGAATGAAAATTGAGGGATATATAAAACTGATGAAAAAGTGAGACCCAGAGTGGGGAAGGTACCAATTCCATGAACAGGTGATTTGGCACCATTCTCTATAGTAACAACTAATGGTGAGAAAACATGAGAAATATCATAAAGAAGAGATGGGTTACCTGTAATGTGATCGGATGCCCCTGAATCAATGATCCAAGGTGTAGAAAAGGAAGCATGGAGACACGTATTACCTGAAGTAACGACAGTAGCGGTGGAGGAGGGCTGATTTGCACGCTCACCCTTTACCAGAGAATCATATTCGGCTTTGGAGAGAACGACTTGTTAATTCACAAGAGTGGGAGTGGTTTCCTCCGAAACCAAAGCTTGATTAGCCCAAGCTGAGTTGCCATGAAGAGCCCAGCAGAAGTCAACATAGTGATTGTTTCGACCACAATGAGTACACTTCTTGCTGCCGCGACCCCCTCTGCCGCCACGAGTACCATTGCCTGGATTGGAAGGACCTCTGCCCCTTCATCCTCCACAGAAAGTATCATGTCGCTCAGTAGGAACAAGAAGAGCAGAGTGGTTGTCCTTCTCAATCACAGGGGCATGAGTAGCTCTTCAAACTCGAGCAAAAGTCTCACTTACTCTGGGTATCTCCTTGCCAGAAAAAATCTGCGAATTGATCGGAGCTAGTTCGGGTTTAAGCCCAGATAAAAATTTTGCCACCCGAAACTCCTCCCTGTGCCCTTTTTGTTGTTCTATATCTGTAGTCAATGGTTGGTAGACATTCAATTCTTCCCACATGCCCTTCAATTCTAAGTAATAATCTTCAACAGAATGATCTCCCTGCTGGAGATTAAAAATATCCTGGTACGGATAAATACGAGAAATATTCTTCTCTGGAGAATACATGTCCCTGATATTTTCCCAGATATCTTTGGCAGATTCTAGGAATGACACGTTGTTGAAGATCTCAGACTCTAAACTGTTCCATAACCAAGTCATAATCTGAGTATCTTCTTTCTCCCAAGCCTCAATAATCTTTTCATCACTAGTGGGTTTAGTTGATTTAAGATATGACAGTTTTCGTCGAGCCCATAGGAACACCTCTACGGCTCGAGACCATTGAAGGTAGTTTGAGCCTTTCAATTTGGTGCTAGTGATTGACCCAAGTAGATGGGATGCCTTAGTATCCATCACAAGAGCAGCCGAACAAATGAGATATAATAGCGAGAGGGAGCCGAGATAAGAGAACCAAGATCTAGCCAAGATGAACCCAAGTGAAATTATCAAGGAGAGAGCCGAGGAGGAATCCGAGAGAGATTGCCGAGACGAGAACTAAGATTACCAAGGAGAGATCGCCGAGAATAGATTGCTGAGAGAAAGTCGAGGAGGGATCCAAGAGAGATTGCTGAGACGAGAACTGAGACTACCGAGGAGAGATCGCCGAGAATAGATTGCTGAGAGAAAGTTGAGGAGGGATCTAAGAGAGATTGCCAAGACGAGAACTGAGATCACCGGGGAGAGATCGCCGAGAAGAGATTGTTGAGAGAAAGCCGAGATGGAATCAAGATCAGAGTCTGAATAAGACTAAAAAAAAATATTTAAAGAGGGATCGATTTCCGCTCTGATACCATGTTGAAAGAGAGAGAGAGAAAGAGAATATATGAAAATATATATCTTATTGAGTGAGTAATACAATAATACAATGATGTTTATATAGGAGAAGTTACGGGAGTAGGTGAGTGGAGAACAAGTAAATCCTATACATGGTAATTCTATATATGGTAATGAGGGGTAGGTGACAACTTATACAATACTAACTGTACACGTGTGATAACTCATACAATATTATACAACATGACAACTCATACAATACTGTACAACACTGCGCAAGTACAAGCATCACTTATCAGACTCTTAGAACTCTGGTACACCTACTCTCTAGATTTGCTCCTGGAAAATAAGAGGACTTCTATCTTCATTCATGCTAATCCTAATTTTCTAGAGGTTACTAAACTAGTACACCTCAAGTTCAAGCAAATGCTTGCAGATGGACATATTAAACTTTGAAATCTGGTCAGGATAAAAAAATAAAATAAAAAAACTAATATTATTGTAACATTCACGTGGTTTGAAATAGTTAAATAAAAGTCTGACACCATGAGAGATTAATAAAAATATGCAACTATACGTTTATAACAGATAATAAATTTAATATTTATCAATAAAAAACTTACACGCAAAGCCATCTTCTTAAGTTTGTTCATTGCAGAGAACTGCTTCAGGCGTGACAATACTGCAGAATCAAGAGGTTTATCGGGGGCCATTTTGTCATCATCAATCCAAGGGTGGCCTGACATAAAAATAAATTGAATTGAAAACTCAACTCATTATTATGACCTCAAGCAGAGCTAACATTTCAACCACACTGGTACATGGTGAACCCAATTTTCCAACCAAATTTAATCATGTAACCTTGTTTTATATTGGAAAAAGAGACTTACACATAACATCATGGGCAGATAGCCTTGTCTTTGGATTCCTATCAAGCATTTTCCGAATGAGATCCTTGGCACTATCTGAAATGCCAGGCCATGGTTCAGATTCAAAATCTAATTTTGCTTGCAATATCTGTCGGAAGATCCCCATTTCAGTTTCTGGAGTGAAGGAGGGGTACAATAACAGTATCATTGTTAGTATTGGAACTAAAAGGAGTGAAACTTTCAATTTCAGCTGATTATTTTTTATTTTTTTTGTCTCAAACATTGAAATATCAATAGCTACCTGCCCAGAAAGGTGGAACTCCACTTAGTAAGATGTACAAAATAACTCCTGCACTCCATACATCTGATTCAGGACCGTAATGCTTGCGTAACACCTCTGGTGCAACGTAGTATGGACTCCCAACTACATCAGAAAATGATTCTCCTAGGAAAAATGGAAGAAGCAAGTAATTTTTGTCAAAGGAGACACTAAAATCAACAAAAAGATTCATTGAGTGAGAAAAAGGAAATGCTAAGGCAAACTAGACGAGATACTTCAAACACTAGTGCACTAAACAAAAACATCAATTCCCACAAAATTCTTTCAGTAAGTTTTGAGCATTCTGTGACGCACAGTGACAGAGAATTATCCCATATACTATGACCCTAGTTTTTTATTTTTATTATAAATATATTGTAGAAAAAGCATGAACAAAGACGTACCAACATCAATATTTATTATATACATGATACCAGGTCAAATATAAAATCTCAGAAGAAACCCAATGTAGGAAAACTGTAAGAAAACACTATCCTGCATCTTGGTTAGGTTTATAATGGGCAAAGATAATGGAAAGCTAGCTGATTCATGGTTTAAAGGTAGAAAAAAAGTTTTGGGCTTTGTGGATTATGAAAAGGTCATAGAGTTGCTGGATTTTCAGAAAATTAGTTGTTGGCAATTTTAGAGAATGAATACAGTCAATCAAATATCATTACGAGTATAAATGTAGAATTCATAGTCAATTAAATAAAAGACTAGTAGTATAATGTAAAGCAAGGAAAAATATGGTCGATCAAGCAGATGAAAAAACTAAAAAGGCACCTTGCCTTTTCTTTTCCATAAATGCGAAGCATCAAATAAGACGGAATGAATGAAGAAAAAGAAAATTATGCAAACCCTAAAACAACTTAATCATCCAGAAACACAAAAGATAAAAATTAAAAATAGGTGTTGCATAAAAGGGAGCCCAGTGCACTAGCCTTTAGTGATAATCGGAGAACTGAAGGGTTTGTCTTTTTTGAAGCCCGAGCAGTGAAATAATCAAAAGAAAAACTCATTCAGTTGAAAACTTTTCATGCCAATAATGCTTTGATTTTTTTTCTTTACTTCCAATAAAAGAAGTACCAGGAATTCTGAACCGCTAGTATCAGTAACTAAAATATTGAATTAAACATCTGAATTAACTAAAGGTCAAAAAATTAAGTTGGAGAATCTAATTATATGATTTCCACAAAACACAAAAGTGACAATTACATTTCATACAAAACATAAAATGCCAATTACATTCATTTCATTATAAAAAAAAATAAGAGACAATTACGTATCACTTCAATAAATTTGAAAAAGAAAACAGAGAAACTAAAATAGAAAACAGAAAAATAAGAATAAATAAACAATAAAAATACAAAAGTGAAAGAAATTTAAGAATTGTGTGCAATATGACTTTAGATTAAAAAAATGCATACAACTTATGCATCCAATATCAGCATTTCCTGAAAGGAACTGAAGAACAACCATTTCATCCAAAGATACATCAAAGAAAAATTAGTAAAAGCTGACAAGAAGAAAATTAAGACAATATATGATACAATTAAGTATTACTTTGACTGCAATGTCGGGCATAAAATTATTAGCAGGAACATTCATATTGCAAAACAGTCCCACAAAGAACATTACCCACAACTACCAACCGAGATAACCAACGAAATAAAAGGATCTTTAAAAACCCAATTCATTAATCAATCGCAAAATCACAGACCACCCCATTTCATTTCTGAGAAAACATGAAAAGCTGGAATTGCCCAAATCAGTAGTTAAGCATAAAGAAAGAAAGAAAACACAGACCACCCCATTTCATTTTTGAGAAAACATGAAAAGCTGGAATTACCTAAATCACCCAAATCAGTAGTTAATCATATAATAAAGAAAGAAAACTGTAAACACTCAAGTCAGGGTCAATCATAAAATCCCCAAAACAACCCATTTCAATTCCAAAAGCACCCAAAAATGCAAAATACCCAAATCATGAATCTTTCCCCCACCACACACACACACAATTTAGAAGAATAAATATATACATATACAAGAATTACAGTAAGATTGACAGGAAGAGCAAGAAACACAAGAAGCAACCTGGTTTATAGTAAACAGAGAGACCAAAATCGGTGGCCTTAAGGGCAGCATTCTCATCAGTACTGGTGAACAAAAAGTTCTCAGGCTTGAGGTCTCTATGAATGACCCCCAACGAATGGCAATTCTCCACAACCCCAACAATGGTCTTGATGAGCTTAGCTGCCTCTCTCTCACTGTAATGCCCCTTCTGTACGATCCTATCGAACAGCTCTCCACCGGCACACAGCTCCATCACTATGTGCACATACAGGGGGTCTTCGTATGTGCCTTTGATTCGGACCACATTTGGGTGTTCGGACAAGTGGTGCATTATCTGAATCTCCCTATAAACGTCCTCGTAGTCCTCTTTGCAGAGGAGTTTCTTCTTGGGTATCGATTTACAGGCATAGTGAGTCCCTGTGGACTTGTCAGTGGAGAGATGGGTAGTGCCAAACTGGCCTTGCCCGAGCTTCCTGCCGATTGTGTAGAGCTGTTGGAGGCTCTGGGTCCTGTTGGGAAGGACCCAGTTGGGCTTCGATGGTGGTGGTGGTGGTGGAGGTGAGACTGGTTTCTTCGTATTCATTCCTGGTGGTGGTGGTGCTGATGGATGATTTGAATCTGGTGGTGGTGGTGGAGGATTTGAATCTGACGAAGAAGACATGAATAAAGAAACTGGATTGATTGATTGATTCTGTAACTTTCTTGGGTCCAAACTGTGGGCGAAAGAGAGTAGTAGGAACTAACAAGAGACCCTCGTTTTATAGCTGATGAGGATCAAGATTGATGACCCCATCTCTATATCCATATATATATATATGTATATATATAATATTCTCTCTATGAAGAATGACTTACTCCGTTTCTCTCTCTACACTTCCTGTTGGAACTTGGATGAAAAGTTTCTCTCTACAATGACTGATCTTTCTCTCTCTACTTGCCAAAAAAATGAAAAGACCCTCTGCCCTCTCGCCAGATACTCTTTTTGAGTAAGAGTAGGGTCAGTGTCTCTCTAATGGCATGGTCTCACTGTACCTACAATAATTTTGATCAATCTCGGTATACCTATGTAATTAGGATAAATGATGAATTTGATTTATTATTATTATTTGAGTAAGATTAGGGTCAGTGTCTCCCTTAGGTATAGTGAATTTGATTTATTACATATCCTAATTTTCAATGTATCCAGTTTGTCCTTTATCCATTTGAAAAGACTTAAATACCCTTCAATTATTTTAAAAAGGGTTATCAATTTGGTATAAATATTCCTCCTAATCGCATAAAAATATTAAAATACCTCTTATCAGTAAAATAAAATAATATTAAAAAAATAATTCAAGCTAAAATTACTATTTTAGCCTCTATTCCAACCCTGCAAAACCATAATTTTGGGAATACAGACCCGGCTGCCCCTTCCACGCCTGCAATTTTCTTCGCCACCACCACATCCTCCTCCACCCCCTTCCATCAAAACCCAAATTTCCCAATCCAACATAATCAAGGTCGATTTCTCCACCTCCTTCTTCACCGAGGTTAGAGAACTCGACCCCGAGCTCCACCTCTCCCACTTCCCCTCCTACGACACCATCATCGTCGATTGCGCCTCCACCGACACCAACGATGAGTCGCTGACAGCAAGAAAAGCCCCTTGCCGTTTGGATTCTACTAACGTCCTCAGCGCCATCGAGCCTTTGCTGTTCGGTGTTGGTGTGGCGCTCTCACTGTCGCGACGCCGCTGCTTCACCGGACTGGTTCTATAGACTTCACCAAACTGGGTCTTCACCGGACTGCCGCTGTGTAAGCTTCACCGGACTGTCATGACGCCGTTTCAGTCCTCTGCCACCGCCGGTAAGATCAGAGCACCGCCGTCCTTGTTATCACTGAAGGCTCCTCCTCCTCCTCCTTGGATGGGCTTTACAATCAAAAACCAAACTGATCAGCTGCAAAACGCATGTTATATTCGCCCACTGTAAGTTCATGATCTATAACTTATTTTACTAAATGAAGAATATGTAAGACTTGTGTTAATCATTTCCACTATAAGTCTGTGTTTATAATCTCAAATTAGCTAGTCATGTTCATAGATGTTCTCTGGAACAAGGAGTTAAAAAAGAAGCGCTGCTCGGACTAAGAACAAAGAAACGTGAAACAGGAAAGACTCTGCACTTGTGAACTGCAACATAAACACCTCATTTTCAGTCAAAATCAATCAAAAACTTGGACAAAAACTGTACTGGAAAGGTCTTGCACGTCACTAAGATAATGAAGATGCTTTTTGAAAGCATGATTGGACTGAGTGCTGCAAAGGAAAGACGAACAGATCATGAAGGGTACATGACCACTTACCTACCATATTGTTATCCAACGAGTCATCTGAATACGGAGATATTGCTGAAACAAATGCCTCAAGTAATCTCCAAAATAAGCAACTTAGAATATCAGCATTAAATTCTTTGAAATTGGTATCAACCGAAAGCTGATTTTAAAAAGTTTTGCAATCCATGTCCAGCACTCTTGTGTTGGCCTCTTCCAAAGATGCACCGACACCCTCAGACTCGAAAACTTCCCACTCTGTTTTCAGAACTTACAATCAGGATTCATATAATGCGTAAAACCGAACACTGTTAATCTTGGGCGCCATGAAAGACTACAAGAAGACCAATTTTTTCTTTGAAAGCTCTAAAAATTCACAGCATTCAACAAGCCAATGCATGTATTCTTAGGGGCACATCAAGAAAAACTTTCTGCCAACTGACTAATTGTATCCATATTTATGGAAGTTATGCATCTGACGAATGTCGTACGTTCGAGCCTTTAGATTTGTATTTCATATTGCTTATGTTCTTTTCTTAATTTTTTTTTTTATTTTCAGTTAATCTCCAAAAATTCATTTAATTCCGTTGCTTTTAGGGTCTGTGAGTTCAATCAACGGATGGAAACCGCGAAAGCTAAAGTATCCAAGTGATCCACTAGCTAAGCTAATCCAAGGATAGTTGAAGGTTTCCTATTCCAATAAGGAAACAACTCAAGCTGGAAATTCTGGACCCACTTCAGTGTTTTGGGCATAATTTTTTACCAGAAACTCGGAATTGGGAAAACTCAAAGGATTCGGAAAGAATACTCGAAACTCGTCGTTTTGTGTCTAATAGTAATTTCGAGATTCGTATTCCAAATAAATCAAAATAGCGTTTCAAACTAACGAAAATATAAAAGTCTATTTTGGCTCCTTTCCTTTGCTGGACTTTTTCTATTTTCTTTTTTTAGGAGGAAAGCCTACAACATGTGAATATAAAAAGGGAGATGTTCAGAAGAAAAAAAATGAAGATTATAGAGGATACAAAAGAGACCTTGTGGCGGCTTTTAGGGTTTTGAAGATTGAAGAAGATCATAAGAAGTTTTTGGTTGTCTATGGAGATGGCTTCTGCAACATCAATGATGACATCTCTTTTATCCATGAGTAGCTAAACTCCATTTTAGGGCCTTAATGTAACCCGAATCCGAATAATATGATTTGATTGTTCATTAACTTTGGAGATTTTCATTTTTTATGTATTTTAATTGCATGATTATAAGCAATTGAATTAGAATTTCTAAGCAATTGGAGTTTTAATGAATAAAATTAATTTTTATTAAATTAATATCTTGTCTTAGAATTGATTTACTTTAATCAAATTCAAACTATTCTTATTGTTTGAGATTGGCGGCTAAGGCTTCTCATAACGATCTAAATAGTGATCATGCAATAGTGCTTAAATTATTTTATGAATGAATATTTTGATAATTTATGCCTATGGAAGACGAGTTGTACTGCACCCTAGATTAGAGTACTTAGGTAGACAATTCGTGTCAACTGAAGATAGGTAATAAAGTTTAACGTAAATTTATGATTTATTTTCTTAAAATTGAATTAAATAGAATGTTAATTCATTTAATTACTGATTATGCATAAAGATTGAAATCCATAAGGTTGAATCAATTGACCATATTATGAGGTCCGTGGTGAAATCAAGCCCTAAGTATTTCTTCACTTGATCTCAATCTTTGTTCTAATTACTTATTTTTACTTTTCATGTTATTTATACACAATCAAAACAACAAATCGTCTCTCTAAATTAAATTAGCAATTAATTTTATATTTAACAATCCACCACAATCCTTGAAATTCGACACCCTCAACATAACCCTATCCTACAAGGATTCGTTCTATTACGAATGGTTTTTATCATTGATAATACGCAAATCAATTTTTTGTGTCGTTGCCGAAGACTGTGTAGCAGTTATTGTTAGGTTAAAGATTAGTTCTAGTTTGATTGTTAGTTTAGGTCTTGCGTATAATTTTCTATTGATTTAATTTTTTTTTCAAATGCAGGAATTTAGGTGCACGAGATGAAGGAGGTTGTTGAGTTGTTAGATACGGGTTAGAGAGTGACATTTCGTCTTACTAGAGATGCTAAACTTTGCACATGTGACACATTATGTTTTGTTTTTTAATTGTAGATTTCATAATTTTTCAAAATATATATATATTTTATTATTATTTTTTATTATTTATTTTTTAAATTTTTTTATATATTTTTTTTGTAGTTTATTTCTATTTTGTTTATCATGATTTTTTACTCTATATGTGTGCGATAGTGAGAGTGCGTTTTGTAACGACCCGGTGATTTACCTCCCTTTCCTTTTTCCTGAAATTTTACGAATGAATTTTTTTCGTTTAATTTTCCTTTCAGAACGCTGTTTCTTATCGCTTAGTGTCGTCTCGAGTGCTTAGAAATGATTTCTGAGAATCTTTTCCATGGATTGACAACTTCCTTTGAGAACTGAGTCATTTTTGCATTTTCATTTTTCGGACATTATGCGCTATTTCGTCCTTTTTCCTATTATGTCTTATCTCCGTTTGTCACTTGTTTGGCAAAACCTCACTTTTCGTGCTCGGAGTTAGTTTTTGACTTCATGTACCTTCATCTTCAGTGGTTTCCTCGAAATATGTATCTTTACTTTTGCAAGAAAGTACCCTAGTTGCTCCCGGTGTCCGTAGGGGCATGGATGCACAATCCTTCAGAATCTTTTTCTTTTCTTTGAGTGTTTTTCATAAATATCTTTTGAAGATATTTTATTTTAGGGGTATTTAAGAAAATATCTTTTGGAAGATATTTTCATTCTGGGCTAGTTTGGCAGTAAACCCTTTTTGTAGGTGTCATTGTGCAATTAACGAAAGTTATTACAAAATATCTCATCTGAAGCCTGGATCCTCGTACGGGATTCATTTTCACATTTCATCGAGTCGTGTACTCTTAGAATTCCGTTCAGGTCATTTTTCTCCAGTTTTAGAGTTTCTAACCCCGGTTGCCGCCGAACTTGTTCGGGCCATATCTCTTTGCTCGGAACTCGGTTTTTGACGCCGTTTCTTCCGTTGCTCATATTTTCTCATTTAGAATCTTTTTTGTTCACGGAGTTTTGCCGTTTGAGCGCGTCTACTCAAAATCCACTTTTTCAAACCCGGCGGGGCCATTTCGGGGCACTTTTAGGGTTTTTCTATAAATTGGGAACTTAAAGAGAAAAATCAAAATTTTCCTCTTCTTCTTCCTCTCCTATGGCCGGCCAACCTCCCTCCCATGGCTGCCACCTTCTCTCTCCTCTTTTGGTTCACTTTTCTTTGATGAAAAGTTTTCGGCCTTAACGTTTAATGGTTGTCTTGACACTGCGCATCTTATGCCCTTATTAGAATCCATTTCCGACGATTTTTCGAGTTCAGATTTGGAGCCAAGTTGGGATTTTCATGGGGCTTCTTGCGGATTCTTATTCACGGTGTTGTCCCCGACAAAACTTCTCAGTATCATCAAATTCGGAGCACTTTTATTTTGGTGGGCCTTTGAGATTTCATCTCAAATCAAGGTAGGGGGTGTTATAATTTATTTTCTTGTTATATAGAATGCTTGTGATGCTTATATACTTCAATTACATGATTATGTATCAAATCTAGAAACTTTGATTTATT